CTGGCCTAAGCAACCGCAGAATCCCCAAAGAGGACCAGTCTACACTATGCCTAATTCATCTTTAACACTTGTTTCCAAACAGAAATAGAGTCTGAGAAACTGTCCCAGCCAGGAGGAGTCTACGAAACGGGACAACTAAAGGCAACATGATGGAAGAGAAGGCCACGAGGGTCCAAGCCATCCTGAGCCATCCACTCAGTGCTGCTCATCGATGTAGCACAGGCAATGCGGCTATCAGACATTCCTCCTGAGGCCTGTGTAGATAACGTGACGGGGCAAAAACACCGAATTCTGCTATCACCTTGATTTTCCTATAAAACCACAACTACCCTTAAAAAAAAAAGTAATGCTTATGAACAATAAAGGAATGGGGAGAGAAAAAAAAAACAAAAATAAAACCAAACCTCAAAATGACTATGGCTAAAACAACAAATATCACCTCTTATTGTGTTAACTATTCATTATTCGAGAAATAATTTTTCTTAGTATAGAGACTGGGTGGGAAAAATTAGCTATCCATAATCCTCTGGAGATTGTGAAAGACAAATTAAATCAAAACAAGCAATAAAATCCCACCACTGATTCAGATGAAAAAAATACAGGAAATTTCCTGTAATTAGAGTACTGGTTTGGAACAATAATTCCCTCTAATTGGATTTGTCAAAGTGCTCCTGGAGGGACTTATTCAATTCAACTCAATACAAGACATACTTTTGGGCACCTGCTTTCTGAAAGGTTTGGCAGAGGGGAGTGGATAGAAAATCCTGGCACGGTGCGATTGCTCAGCTGAAGCACTTAGTCTCCACAGAGCAGAGGGGTGCTACGGATCACTCCTACCCAAGGCAGGACTGCAGGAGGGAGGAAGGGACAAGGGTAGGGACCATGGCTCTGAGGAAAGGAGTGCACGGGGAAAGGGATCTGCGACTGTCGGGACACTGGAGGCTTCGGTTGGCTGGAATGTGTCAGGGCAATCACTGGTTGCAGGAATGCAAGGGCTTGTAGACTGAGGGGTAAAGTGTGGCCAGTCACCCCAGAACATGAAAAAGCACGGGAGGGCAAAGGCCTTCAAAGGAGGCATTGCATAGCTGAGGAGGCCGGCGATGGATTAGAGACATGGTGCTTTAGGTAGAGAAGGGGAAAGGAAGCCAAGGGGAAAGTAAGCCATGCGGCTTTCGTCATCTAGATGACATCATGTGACTGATAAAATGAATTGTGTTAGGACTACATGGTCACCATCTGGACTAACTTTTTTATTAAACATTATTTTCATTTATGTGTATTTGTGAGTGTATGGCACATGTGTGTGGATAGGGTAGGAAAGGGTGTTGGATCCTGGGAGCTGGAGTTACAGGCTATAGTACGTCACTGGGTATAGGCATCAGGCCTATAGTCCATCTTCTAGAAGAGAAGTGAAGTGTCTTAATCCCTGAGCCATCTGGTCAACCCACAGTCAGTGCCTTGCTGTCTGAAGCCTGGATTGGCTTGCAGGGAGCACACTGACACAAAGGGCACCTCTTCAGCTCACTCCACATGATGCAAACTGACCTTGTTCTTGCTATCATATAAACCTTTTGCTTTTCCTGGTTATACTTCTATAATATACTTAATGATATACATATAATAAAAGTTCTTTACAACTCTTAGATCAGTTGTAATCACTTATGCTCTGGGGCTACTTTTTCCACTCCCTAGTGCCCCCCATCCCACCATGAGGTGTTACAAAATGCAATCCACTAGTTAGGGATCTCAAGCCTAAGGGGAATTCTCCAGATGACATGGTAGGCAACAGTATGAAGCCGTACGAGGATGATTTCTTATCTGAACACTGGAACCTGGAACTCCATTTCTGAGAAGCTCATTCTGTGTGCACTCCACAGGAGTGATGTGGGTTACAATGTATTTCTATTTTCTCTAAAAATATACAACATAAAACTTGAAAGTTCATCTTAACAAAAGAATATGAAGGTGGTAAGAACATGAACAAAGAGACTGTAGCCCCAAAGCATTTAATGTGTATAGAAGTAGCTGTTTTATAAAGGAGTTTAAATAGTATAAAATTTCTAAGGCGTGTTGGAGAACAGACTGTATCTGTTCTTAATCCTCATGAAAAAAACCACCTATAATTCAGACCAAACTGGAATATACAAAACACACACACACGCAATCTCTCTTTGTCAACTTTTTCTGTGTGTGTATAGTCTTTAATTGACAACCATTTCAATCTATTTAAAATTTCCAAGTCCTTAAGAATTACATCAGGTCTTGTCTCCACTGTAAGCATTCCACTGTAGCCTTAGCTTATCATTTGTAACCAGAGTTAAGGTAACAGATTCTGTGAGTGACTTTACCAGAGTGTCCAAATTATCCCACTGAAATGCCCTCCCTCAGACATAGCACTGATCACATAATACTCTGGCTCAAGATACAAACAGTTTCCAATGGTTGCTAATGTGTACACTATTGCTCTGGTGTTTCTGACCCAGACATTCTCCTCTACTGTGACAACTTCATGTTTATCCCATACTCGGTCTTCTGTGGTCTTCCCCTGCCTAGGCTTTCTGGTCCTATTCTGTGTTCTTACCTGTTTTTCTGACTATTATTCGTGTTACTAACATCCATGTCTTTCCATTGGATCAGGCCATAGGTCTTGCCATTTTGACTCAGTGTGATTAAATCATGGTTAATTTGGAGAACTATTGGAAAGATGCTCAATTCCAGACACAACAATGTCTTCAGAGTAAGAGATGCACAAGCCACTATCCCATCCTCAGGACCTTTCTCCGCTCAAACAGAGAGAAGAACATGGTAACAATCCTGACTCAAGATACAACATGCAAACTTGGGGCTACTGGGGAAATAGTGGCAATGGAGAAGGGGAGGAAGGAAGAGAAATGAATGGATCTTCATAGCAGGCTAGGCTGTGGGTAGGGGATTTCCAAATGGACAGGCAAGCAGATGGCAGAGAGAAGCACAATGCAGTCTATTTTGGGAATTTTAGAAAATAGATGTTTTGTCCTGAAGGATACGTTCTAATTCTCCTTTGGAGGGTAGAAGGGAAACAGCATTCATGGAGTTACAAAATATGGTAGGGGCTTAGAATGTTCTTTCAGGCTTTTCCACAAATTATCTGTGGTTGGCCCAAATGATTAGATTACCTTGCATTCTTCCATTTATAATTGATCTCTGTAAAGAAGATCTTTGAAGGCAGAATATAAGTACATACTCTCCAGATGCCTCAACCTCCTCAGCACAGGATTTAACTTGTATTCACCATCAGCTATTATCCCAGCAATTGAATGCCCGGTGTTTAAAGAGAACTTTAAGCATCTGTTAGGAGAACTGGACAGTGCTGAGTCAACAAAATGGCAATGATCAGCATGTTTTGTGTAGATGCTCCGGCTTAGTAGTTTTGTCTCTAGAACAATTTTGTTTGCTATTATAAGACAATTTAGCATAATTTGTCTCAAAATGTCATATCTTAGCATATTTATAGTTGTCAATAATTGAATAGCCAACATAAGCATGGATTTACAATGGTGATATTGGATTTGCCTCTCAGAACTGCTTGGGTGGCACCCTCGGAAGACTGGCCACCCCGGTCCTTCTGTAGTCTATCACGCAGGACAATACTTATGATCTTACGACATCTTTCAATAGAGTTGTTACGTTCTGGTGGTCAATACTGACAGATAATATGAAGAGATGGAGGGGAATGAGAGTGAAGATGGGGAAGTTCGCATGACATTTCATCAAACTTATGGCAACCCAGGGTAATGACCCCTCATATGTATTCTGGGAGGAGCTAGAAAAGCAAAAAAGAATTGGATATGGACAACCAACCCAAGAATCCACTCCGGTGAACAAAACCCATTGAGCTTCTTAGTCATGCTGAGGGAAGAAAGAAAGTAAAAACCAGTATGATTTGGGGAAATTGAGGCAGACACACATAGGGACAGAAATATACAAAGATAAGACTTAAAGAATTTGACAAGAGTACATGAAGGTGCTGGTGACAGGAGAAAGAATCAAGGTCTGAGGAGATGCTCAGTCAGTGAAATGCTTGCCATGTGGCCATGAAGGCCGGGTCTAGTGGTGCACACTGAGGAGGTGGAGGCGGGAGAGCCAGCGAGCACCAGGTTGGCGAGGGAACCTGTCACCAAAAAGATGGACAGCATCTGAAGAATGAGATCCAGTGTTGACTTCTGGCCTCCATATGGACATGCACATATGTATAGCATACACACTGCATACATATCAACATCAGCACACATGTACACACATAGATACACATACAAAAAAGAAAGAAAAGAGATCAAATAAAAAAGACACTGAAAAGCATGGGGTAAAAAACAGTAACACTCATTATGTTCTTGGATGTCTATTTGTCTCCTGACTATTTCACTGGGTTGTGAACACCTGACGCCATGAGCACTCGTTTTTGCTTATTGTTAGCCATGGTGGTAGGTGGAGTATGTATCTTCTGTTTATAATATTACTGTCCATGACCTTATTCTCTTATTTACAGGTGGAGGGATGTGTACCAGTGGCCTTGCTGTCCATATTGTTTGTCTTTGAGATGAAAACAAAAAGTAAGAGCCATCTAAAGGATAGTGAATTCAATAGCAAATTGGCAGGCAGGGCATACACAGGCCTAGCAGCGCCACATGCTCTAGGTGACAGAATTTGTGCCGAGAGATAGCTACAGACTATGTTCTGCAAAGCCAATTCCCCAAAGTCTGGCCGCTTTGTCAGTGAGCTGTGTGTGATTTGTATTGAGCTAATATTGCTCATGTTTTGGTTTGGAGACTCAGTCCCTCCCTGGTCTTCATGTGAAAAACAGTCTGGATTCAGGCATGGTGCTAAATATCTGTAGGCCCAGCTATGCCTGAGGCTGAGACAGGAGGATAGCTCAAGCACAGGCAGTCAGGGCAAGTACAGGAAACACCTACAGACTCTATCTCAAAGCAACAAGAACAGCAGCAGCAACAACAACGTCTTACATTAGTCTGGGGATGTCGCTGACAGCCACTGTCCCATCGTGTGCCTCACTCTCCCCATCTTCCTCCTCCTCCTCACTGCTCTCTGACTCTTCACTGGAGGAGGAGTAGTCGGTCACTTTCTTCAGCGGGCGGTTTGTTTCTTCAATCCGGAGTTCTCTTAATTCTTTAGCTAATGCCGTCAGGTCCTATGAAAGAAAAGTTTGTAAGTACATGAAGTGTAGGTGCAACCAAAGCTGTTTCTCCCAGCCAGTCATTGTTCCAGCTTAAGCAACAAGAAAAAAAAGAAAGGAAGAAGCTCAATAGAGAACTGTGGCAAACACAGTTACTGTATGGAACTAAGAAAATGATGTTTGTGTGGAGAAACTAAGAGGCGGGAGATGAGATAAATTCAAACTTTGTTCAAAATCAATTGCTAGACCAGGACTAATAGTGCATGTGACATGTGTGTGTTAGACTGGGACTGACTATGCGTGTGCATATATGTGCATGCCGTGCCATGTGCATGCACATACATAAAAATATTGTTTTTCTTTCTCTTTTGAGAGGATGAGATTGGTCACCCTCAGACTTGAATGGGAAAACGGAATTAAAATTTGTTCCCCAAGTATTGTGGAATTCCTGCCAAAGCCCCGATGATGGCCTTTCCTCTCTCGTGAAGGCTATTGGACCAAACTCTAGCATCAATTGTAGAACAGAACAGTTGCCAAGGTTCATCTGGTGTGAAGTCATTCCCCAAAGAACAAAGGTACCACATCAAATGACAGCCCACCCCAAAGCCTAGTGTCACTGAAATTTAGAGTCACAGAAATACGTCAATCAAGAGGAATGACAAACAAACAAACAAACAACAAACAAACAAACGAACGATCAGTTCTCTTCCAGCACGACAGGTGTTTCATTTTTAAGTTTTAAATTCCAGTCACCTGGCAGAAACCCTCACAAGAATGCTGAAATGATGTGTAAACACCCAAAGGAAGAGGTCATTTTCCATGAGTGTGATGAAGCCCTTAGCCTTATGGATGTGATGAGGCAGGACTTAGTCACCAGGCATAGTGCAAGACAGTGTGCTGAACGTCTGACTACCTTTGATGGGCATGCTTTCAGAGCAAGGCGGAGGGAGGCAGTTCTGCAGAAGCATGGCCGCTCTACTTTGCATGGGTTAAACTGCCCATGGCACGAAGCATGCAGATGAGGAGAAAGCAATTTGACGTTGGTCTTACCATTTCTCCCTATTTAGGGACCCATGTGGGGATCAGAGCATTCAGCGAGAGACAGGGAGTTAGGGAGAGAGAAACTCATTGAAAAATACTAAATCCCACATTTTTCCCCCAAAAAATAATTGGCCATATTCTCTCTTTATTTCAGTTCAGAAATGTTATTTGTCCAATTCCCCTGATGTATGATTATGTCACCCCAGTGACGTAAGTGATGCTAGGTTTCAATCCCAATCAGAAGAAAGAGTATGGCAAACATGCGTAGTTAATGGTAGGTATAATTTTGCGGAACCCATATGCCATGGCATTGCTGTACCGCGGTCACATGGCAAGCACCAATGTTTTGGTTAACACTCAAGGGGCAATCACTTTGGTGCTTCACTAAAATTTAGGAAATCCAAGTTGTCAAGTGAACAAATCAGAATCATTTTCTTTTAATATCATGTCTCAAAAGGAAAGCAATAATGTCCCAAAGTCACCTGAAGGTCCCATGAAGGGGAGGCTTCTGGAAATCCCAACTGCATGTTCTACCCAAAAACACACTTGCTGGGGCTGCCCATACATGCACACTCCCTCAAACACACAACCCCATTCTCTGCCATCTGTGAAAGTGAATAGAGAGTTGGATCCGAAAGGCTTAACAATGTTTGAAGAAAACATATTATAGAAGGGGAAAGCCCCCACACACAAAGAATTTTACGCACATTTATTTCTAGTTTCTTAGGTAATGCACCCAAACCAGGAAAGGCTAATAGCTAGCTTTCACCCTTCTGCATATTTCCTCTTGATTGCTGCTGATACATTTATCTTTATCAAACAGAAAGTGTATGAAGAACATGCTAGAAGGGCACAATGGGGACAAACTATTGACAGATTGTCAAGACTCTGAAAGCAAGAGGACAGGGTGAGCTTCCAAACTAGAAAAAGTGACAAATTAGACACATTTATTGCATATTTATATTTTTCAAAATAAGGTAAGACTATCAACGAATATAACTAATATTTAAAATTTTAAATATTAAAAACTATTCTTAATTATGATTTAAAGAGAGAATATGGTTTAAAGGAGCTTGATTCTACTATCAGAAAGTCTGAGTAAAATATAATACTACCACTATGACTTATTTAAATTAATGATACATTTTTCCCCGGGCATGGCTTCCTTATCTCTGACAGTTCAGAACAAGATCAGACAGAGAGATTTAAAAAATTCAATCTATTTAGAATTATTTAGTAAATCCATAAACCAGTAACAACTTCAAGAAAGTTTCACTTGTTAAAATGACCTACATTTCCCTAAATACTGTATTTATCAACACTTTAAAATGAAGATCTGCTTTATAATTTTGGTTTTAATCAGAATTTTTTTATTTCTGTGTCATTAAAAAGCTCTTTTGTGAAACATAAAAATAATTGCAAATCTATTTCAGTTTAATTGGCAAGATCTTGGAGAGTGGGAAGCAAATGAAAATTTCAAGGTAGCAATAACGAGTAATCAAGAGTAATGCCCTTGAACAAAATTAATCTCCCATTGCCAGCAGCCTTCGTGGCTAGCTGAGCTTTTGTTCCTCGTATGCTTGCGTCGATGGAAAGGGACGCTATCAAAGTTGCAGGAAATAGACATGATGCAATATTGTCACTGCTGGGTTCGGATGCATTTTCATACACTTTGTTCTCTGACAATTCCAATTTCCTCCATATAATAAGCCTTTTATGGTAATTTATTGCTTGGCTGTCTCAAGCTTGCAGCTAAGAAGTATAAAATGAGGGAATAGAAGTGCTATTTAGCAAATATTTGAGAACGTATTAACTAAAAAAAAAAAAAGATGTGACGAAAATACTCCATTTCTTCCCACAGGGCTAATGTGAAGGCAGTAGGGGCTCACATCCAAAGGGGGCTCGGACACAACACTTCTCAGCTTCTTCATGACGTAACTTCAGCCTGGTGAGCTTGTTTCATCTGACGGTTACAGAATGTCTTGCTTAAAAATATGCCCATTGGGGTTTCTTTTTGTTTGAAATAATATAATTGATGCAAATTTTACTTGCATTGGTTGAGCCATTATATTGTTAGAGAATTTTAATTTGATCTTTGATTTCTGTATTGCGTTTCTCCCTTTTAGAAAAGCTAAAGGAGAGACACGGGGTGCACTCCCCCTAACTTCAGGGGACCCATCTGAAGGAAAAAGAGTCCAGCTTACTAATCATTACGTATATTTTAACCCATCCATGGGTGATTTTAGAATTGCTCAGATCTTTCTTTACTCCAATAAAAACCTAACCTCCACACCCAGAGTTTGCTTCTGCACACAGACTTCATGATACACATTCAGTTATGGGAAGGTAAAGGGTATTTGTTTTCAAAAGTTGTATTAAATAACAATGTTGCAAAATTTCATAGTAATGCTAAATTAATATCAACCTTTGAAATTTATTACTATGAAAAATTAAACTATTGAATTATCAATAATACTCAATACATTTTAAAAAGGTGTTTAAAGACTTATTTGAATTTCATTCTGGGTCATCCAAATAGGAAGGCAGCCACAGAAGGAAAGTCACATCAAACCTAGGAATGGAGAAGGTGGCAGAACTGAGGTCAAGATTCCCCACCAGTGGCTCCTTTAACATTCGGGCCCAGGGCGCCTCTTACTGTGAAGGACTGCCGGGTGTAGGATGCTTCGCTCCACCCTTTTAATGTATCTACAAGCTGCCAGTAGCTCCGCCTCCTATTTTCAAGTGTAACAACTACAACTGACTTTAGATTTTGCTCATTAGCTCCTTAGTGAAAGCAGAGCAGCAATCAGGGCTAGGAGCCGCTGGAGTAGGCAGGGTCATAGGAGCCGCTGGAGTGGGAAGGTCGTTTCCCTGGGTTTTGAGTGGTCCAGGTCAGTGATGTTCAAGGGTCAGAGCTGTCAGTTCACTGGGGGCATTAGCTCTGGTATACATCCCAGAGATTTTGGCATGAGGTTTCCTATTCCTCATCTCTATCTGGTGTGGTGGAGCTTACCAAAATCAATGAAGCGATTTACCAAAAACCTGAACCATCCAGGGCTAACCAGATAAGACCTAGGAGAGCCCTTTTCCCTATGACAGCCACCTCCATATCAATGTCTGGACCCTTAAATTGTTAATGTGAATACTACTTTATTGACAGTTACAGTACCCAGTACCAGAAAATAATTTTCTTTCTTTACCTGCTCTGGGTGACTAGCTAAAAGGTTGGGATAGCCCCGCCATCTTTACTACTATGAGGGAAAAGCAAGGCCATGGTGCAGAGTGATTATAAACAGCCCCTGTTGTAGACTTGTGGGTAGCAGCACTATCAGCAGCGACACCTTCACCAGGAGCAAAACTTTCTGACTCACTATGAATGTGCCCACAGCTACGGTGAAAAACAGCTTTAGAGACTCAAACTTCCCTACTCGCAAAGTTAGTTCTGTGCCTATGGCTCAAATCCGAACAAGTACTTTCCACTTTAAAAAAATGCCTTTGCACACGTGGCCTTAAGGGCTCAGACAGTCTGTGGGTAAAGGTAGGTAGCTGTTTCCATTTCCATTCTTCAGACCAAAAATCTGACTGAGATTACGAGAGTTATCCTAGCCAGTATTCACCGAGGGGAGCCAAACTTCAAATGTAGCTGCTGATCCCTGAGCCAGTGCTTTTTCCATATAATTTCACAAAATATGTCCTCTGTGGAGCTACAGCCTGGAAGCCATAATAGTAAACCTCCCATTTCATGCATCCGGGACTCGGCAAGGCCTGTCTGTTCAGAACGGTTCCACTGTGCTCTGCTCATGCAGGTCTGGCAAACAGCGAGGCGGCCATACTCAGCAAGCTATCTACAGTGGACAAAGCCGTGTGCTTCTCTAGTAGAAAAATGACTCCATAGACGAGGAACTAGAGAACTTGACTTGCCTGGGCTCAGGAGCTAAGGCTGGTGTTTCTTGTGGTGGTGTGACTACCCCACAAAATTTTTCTAACAGCACCCAGTAACTCCTCGTTCACAAATCATACACTATAAATTTGGGGTGTGTAAGAGTTGTGTCTCTGCTTTGCTAGAAAAACCACTGAGGGCCATATTCTAGTAAGGATGCTGAATACAGGTTTTTATCAGAAGGTACTGGATGGAAAAACCACACATTAACAAAACACTAGTACCTGTTGTTCGCCTGGTTGGGACATTGGGAAAGCAATGTTTTTGCTTAGTGAAGGACTCTAAAGCTTTTTATGGGTACATATGAGGGTCTTGGGATGGCTTCTTTAGAAGGGGCTCTCCCCCCAAACAAGGCTGTACATAAGAAACCTTTTCCCACAACCCCACTGGCCTCCTTTCTGTATGTCAGCATCGGGAAAAGGGCTTAACTGTCACATCTTGTGAAGCATGGCCGAGAAAGGGTAGTACTGACCTCGTCTATAGCTTTCTTATAGCTCTGTGACAAGAGGAACCCAGTCCCGAAGAGTCCACAGGCAGGAAAACGCCGAAAGAAAAGAAGTAGAGGAAGCCATTCCCGAAGAGTCCACAGGCAGGGAAAAGCCAGAAGAGGAGAAGCAGGTTAGACACAAAATCGATATTGTTAGTAGAAAACTAACACAGACAAATAGGCAAAGAGAAGTTCAAGCCAGAGCACTGCAAATTCCCATCATTATTACTTAGCATCCTCCTTACTTTAAGATGATAAAATCAGTAAGTGAAAGAGACATTTATGCACATGACAGTGTCTCAGAACATCCAAACTGATTTTCTGCTTTCAGCCAGCATGCTCTTTTTCCTTCCTTTTCTTTAGTTTTAGTGTTATCTATCTATCTATCTATCTGTCTGTCTGTCTGTCTGTCTGTCTGTCTGCCTGCTTGCCTGCCTGTGTGCCTGTCTGTCTGAATGTCTGTCCATCCATCTATCCATCCATCCATCCATCCATCCATCCATCCATCCATCCATCTATCTATCTGAGACAATGTTTCATGTATCCTAGACTGACCTTGAACTCATTATTCAGCCGAAGATGACTTTGAACTTCTGGTCCTCATATGCATTGGTATTAAAGATGTGGACTGTCATATGCACATACTGTTTTATGAAGTGCCTGGGATCAAATCCAGGGCTTCATGTGTGCAGAATGAGCACTTAACCAACTGAACTTCACCTTAACCCATACTCTTTCTTTCTTTCAAGCCACTTGGTGTCAGGTCCAGAGGAAACTGCACACCCCCAGACTCTGGCACCTTTACCAAAGCAGTCAGAAGGGACAAATGGCCATCTTTGCTGACTATCAGCGTGCTGGCCTCCAAGCTCCCTTATTATCACACTCCCTGTGGCTCCTCTCAGCTTTTCACACTCTGCCTCCTGTCCCACACTTCTCCAGCTCCTGGGTTTCCCTCCCCAGCGTCTCACTCCCATACAGCCCTGACATTTCAGTGACGTGCTCTCTCCTGGCTTCTCCTCTTGGCTCCTCCCTCTTGCCTCTCTCTTGGCGTCCTCTGCCTGCATTCCCTTTGTCCTCCTCTCTCTCTCTCAGTCTCCCCTGCCCTCCTCACATGGACTGGTCCACTCTGCTGGCCATTTCGTTATACTGCTTTCTCTCCCTGCTCTGGACACTTCCAGGTACGCCTGGCTGCACTCTCCCATATCTACAACAGTCAGTCCTAAATTTATACATCTGATGCTGAAACCCTCAGTTTATACACTCGGGTCCTTCATGGTTCAGCAATGGCTCTGGATTTCAAGTCTCCAGGCCCTGTGTTACGCCACGCTTACTAGGTTTTGGTTCAAACAGACTAGGTCATAAGGTATGACAAGCAGGTGAAGAACCAGCCTGCCTCCATCTTAGTCTTGAAAGCCATCTTATAGTAAAGACAGAGTAGGCTCACTTTTGTTCATGATTAAATCTGTTTCTCAAGGATGGGCGTGCCCCACCTGGAACCTTAGCTACAAATGGTTCTGTACTGCGTGTTCCAGGAATGCCCATCTGCCTATGTTTCAAAGACTTGTTTAGAATCATCTTGGAACCCCACCTTTGTTCCAAAAGGTTCCATGACCACCTATGGCTACCTTGTTACGACTACCTATTGCTATGATCACCTTGTTCTACGTACCCTGCAGCCATGTCTTTGTTTCAGGAAGTCATTAGGACTGACTCGTTATGATGTCCTGCTCCTATAACAAACCCACTACCCCTGACCTATGAAAGTCTTGCTTTCCTCACATTCAATGCTGATCTCTTAACCCCTGCCTGAGGCAGTCCATGAATACAAATTAAAAGCTTGATTTAATGAATTTGACTGTGATGATCTGAGTTGGTGGTCTTCCTCCTCTGACCTTTGGGATTGACAGTCACTGAAGACAGAGATGCAGTTTATGTGTGAAGAGTGGATGGCAGCAGGAAGAGTCTATGTGTCCCTGAATGCTACTTTTAACATCTTTATGTCAAAGTGCCGAGCAAACACTGTGGGATTGTGTGAGCTAGTTCTATTCCTTTTTTAATTTTTTACAGGATTGCTGATGAGAAACAAAGCATCCAAAGTCAATGGAAGCAGCCCAAGATCCATTCAGTTCCCCTCAATCGTGTATGACTTCCTTCTAGATGCCTCTAGTATACAACATTCTTATTATCCTCTAGTTTTTGCTTTGAGTCATGAATGCAACCCCAATTACTTTATCATAGGATTCTCAGGTAAGCGAGGACATGTAGATTCTTAGGAAGGACAGCACTCACAGCTGGTCGACTGGGCCGGGTGATGTCTCTGGACTCTTCGGGTTTCACCTTGGAAGGTTCGTGGGGGAGCACGGGTGATCCTTCTGACTTACTGTTGGCTATAGAAAAGAAGAGGGACAAGAAAGGCTCTTAGAAAAGGCTGCCTCATTCTGCGTGAGTGGCTAGGGGTTACTCATGAGCCAAATCCATGTATATCGATGAAAAAAAACAATAAATATTCAAAAAACAAAGTCAGACAGCTGAGGCCTGAAACCCAGAAGCCAACAGTAAGAATGAAAATCTGCAGTCACTACCAAGTGCTTTCTGTGTATTAGGAACAGTACTAAATGCTTTCTCTGTCGATTATTGCAATTAATCCTTGCTCCAAGCCAATGGCCTGGCACTATTTTCTTATTCTCCAGATAAGGACAGATTCAAAGATGACACCCCTAGCTCAAGGTGACAATGAAGTTATAGAGTTAGTTGGGATTCTTCTTGAATTTTGAAAGTCTTCTTAATCATTATTTCAAACAATCTTATGAATTAAAATTTAGGCTTGTTTTCTTCTTTAATCATCCAGTTATCAGAACAGGCTACTCTAATTGAAGTTTGTGAAGAATAAAACGAGCTTTGTTTGATGGAACGAGTTTAAAAGGGGGCTAAGAAGTGACCTGAGACCTTTAAGGAAGAAAGAATGATACAGGATCAGGGAGGTGTTGATAAAGGTGAGGGGCCCAGGAATAAAGTTGGGGAGCCAGGCTGGGGGAGACCCTCTGAGGCCAGAGTGAGAGATGCCATGTTATGTATGTCATATGTAGAGCAGCAGGCAAATCATGGCTGCATTTCTAAGGGGCCACGAGGGGACTGGTGCTGTCTTAAGGGAAAGTGACCCACCAGCTTGTTAATAGTTATCAAATCGTGCTTCAGACAGTCTGTTCTTACTTATTGTGAGCACATTTATTCTCTGACTTAAAAAGAGTGAATTTTGATGAGTTAGAACAGGGGTTTTCTAGGTATTAATTAATTGCACTATAGTCTTTCCATAGGTCTCTTCTTAGTGAAAACTAATCAGTGATGAAGCTTTTGAACTAAATATCTGGCTATGTTTTTTGTTTGTTTGTTTGTTTATCTAATGGGAACAAGCAGAATAGTCAATCATGTGACTTTAAGGCTAAGGTGTTTTCTTCTGTCTTGTGTATTTACTTTATATTGACTTTTAGGAAATGTCATTTTGAGAAACACCCAAGCTGACGAAGCATGCTTGGAACCCTGGAAGGGATGACTGGCACCGTGGGAACAAGACAGTGGGGTGCAGGAGACTGACAATGAGGAATCAAGTGGAAGTGGACACTTGGGGAGCTAGAAAGTTACCCAAACCACAGACAGGATTGCTGTTCACACTCTGATTTCATATGCACAATTAGGGACTCTAGCCCAGTGCCTTCAGAAGACACAAGCATAAGACACTGGATAATTCCAGTATCACACAACAGTGGCCACCCTGACGGCAGAGTTAGGAAGCAGCCTTTCCTTTCCACCTGTGGTTTTCCTCCCGAGCACGAGAGGATGGAGGAGTTAAGAGAATGCTTACCCCGAACTCTGGTTCGTTCACTAGATCCTGCTTGTGAGCCAGGCTGAGAGCCTCCTTGGGAGCTGGGCTGGGAGCTGGGAGTGCTGGAGCTGGAGGAACTGCCGCTGCTGGTCCTCTGCAAGGGGCTCTCCAGGACAGGCTCTGTTCTGCGGAGATCAGGATTGCTGCATGGGCAGAAGAACACAATGGCCACAGGTCAACATCCAGAACAGCAAGGCCCTTACTGAACAGCTCAGTAGCAAGAAAACAAACAACAAATAGACATGAGATAAGGACATAAAGAGACATTTAAAAAAGGACACACAACAAGCCATATATAAAAATGCTCTGCATCACCTTACACTTATTAAAGTGATTTTCTCAAAAAGAGGAATGATAGCCATTGCTGCTAAGAAAGTCAAGAAGGAAAGCCTCATCCTCTATTGGTGGGATGCAAATTAGTATATGAAAATTATTATAGAGATTCCTCCAAGAGTTATAAATACATGACCCAACAATTCAGCTTCTGGTTATATAGCTAGAGGAAATGAGGTCTTTGTGTTGAGAAGATGGTGCATTCAGTGTTGCATAGATGCATTCATAGTAGCAAAAGATAGAATCAGCATGCACAAACTGATAAAGAAAATGCAATATATTTTTATATATGGTAGCAATATATATTCTAAACATGTCAACCACACAAGAAGACATGCACTACATGATCTCACATATGGAAAGGCACAACTCAGAGTAGCAGAGCTACAGTGTGAATTATTAGAATCTATAAGGTTTGATATGGGAACTGTGAGATGTTAAGCAAAGAAATGTTTCAGTTAGACAGGATGAACAAACTTTCAAGATCTATTGTACATTGTGGTGCCTTTACTTAATATGTACACTTGAAGTAGAATTTTCTTTGAGAAAGGATCTCACTATATAGATTACTGTAGCACAGCATCCAGCTTTGAAGTAGATCCTAAACATTCTCATCACAAAAAGGTAACTATTTGAATTCACTTCACAGTTTATACAACTATTAAAAATCATATGGTACATATAAATATATGTTATTTCAATTTTGTATACATTACTTAGATTGTGGATGCTTGCTATTGGTAGTGACTCCTGAAGTCCTTAAGCAAAGGGTAAATGGTGGAAGGGTAGACACTGGGAGGGTAGGCGCTGGGAGGGTAGACCCTAAAAGGGTAGAGGATGAGTTCCAAACTCAATTCTTGGGTCAACATACTATAGTACCAGCTCTGAGATGAGGAACTCTAGGAAGAGATCTTCCTTTAAACAGTTCTCCCCATAAAACAAAGACAAACCAACCTATAGTTCATAACCCCAGAGAACCTAGACAAAGAGGACCCTAAGAGAAAGAAACATGGACCTGCATAGGAAGGAGAAAAAGACACGATCTCCTGAGTAAACTGAGAGTGTAGGGGCCATGGGAGAAGGTAGAAGGGGAGGCGAAGGAAGGGAGGGAAGCAGAGAAAAATGCATATAGTTCAATTAAAAACAAAAAAAGAAAAAATAACAAAGAGTTTAAAATGCCAAAAAAAAACCCTCAGTTCTTCCAGTATTTGTTGTAAACAACCTGAAATATATGAAAAGGAAGAAGAAGGAACAGCACATGCAGCTCCAAGCTAGGAAACAGTCACTGTATTTTACTATTTGGCAAATTATCAAATATTCAATTATGTCTCTTACTGTTTTCTTCCTAACACTGGTGAGCATTTTATTGTGATCTGAAAGGTGCTGGCTGTAAAATAGCCCATCATATAGACAAATTGGTTTGGTCATTCTTGTACTGTTAGTCATTTGTGGGGCTTCCGACACATTGCTGTGATAAGCCACACAGAACTAGCCATCTGTCTGCACACCAAAGCGCAACTCTAGTTCCTAATTTTGGAATTCTTGGTTAACAGGTCATGAACACTATAAACATACATGTATAAGCTAATGTAGAAAGATATTAGCAATTTTCACTGTAGTCTATGTGATTATCCTTCTCTATGAATTTTTGTGCATATGTGTGCATGTGCATGCATGCACGCGTGCGTGTGTGTGTGTGTGTGTGTGTGTGTGTGTGTGTGTGTAGGTGACTGTGGTGACCAGAAGGAGGTGTCAGTCTCCCTGCAGGTGAAGTTACAGATGGCTCTCAACACCTGGCTGTGGGTTCTGGGAATTGCACTCCAGTGTTCTGTAAGAATGGCAAGTGTTCTGAAGTGCTGAGCCATCTCTACAGCCCCTCACATCCATCTTTATTGATCCCAAAGAGCAGTATTATTCACTCACTCAGTATTATCATAATAGAAATGGTCGGGCAGTCGGGATAGAGACAGGACACAGGGTAGGTCCTCTGTGAGTCTAGCGAGGCAGACATTCTTAGTGAAGCACAGGGTGACAGGTAGGACACAGGGTAGGTCCTCTGTGAGTCTAGAAAGGCACACATTCTTAGTGAAGCACAGGGTGACAGGCAAGCATGGAGAACGCCTACCCACATCACCCACAGTGGCAGAAAATGGAGATGCAAGAGAAGAACCATCCGGCAACGGTGGTGGGAGCCAGTTGTTGAAGCTTTTATGATTTTGTTCATAAAATTGCATTCTTAAAGTTTCTATAACTTTAAGAGTTAAAGTTAACTTATATAACTTTATAAGTTATATATAACTTATAGGTAAAAGTTCTTACCTATTAGTTTATAATTAATATAAATGTATTTATACATCTCTCTTCATTTGGCCGTTAGATTTATCCAGTTCTGGGTAGGGACAACCAGTGATACTTGAGGGCGAAAGCTCCAGTCTGTTTGCCAGCCATTTGTAGAGAGAAAACCAGCAGAGCATCGTGCCCTCATTTCCAGCATCTCTAGATCCCTAAACTCCCGGAACATTTTTGTGAGTGGAGACACTGTAATGCCATGTTTCTGATGCAGAGGTGCCGCTTCAAAAGCAAATATTGTCCTTTCGTCTGCTCTGACCATGCGCACCAGGTTCTGGGCTATGTGTTGGGTGTTAGCTATGCCCCATACTGAGTTGAAAATAACATGGTCCTCATGCTGAGGCATTCTTCCCCTACCAATGGCTTTGACACAAAATGTTCAATTTTGTAAGCATAAGTAACCCATATAATATTTTTGTTAGTTGGTTTTTTAAAAGATAGCACACAAAAGCAGTGGTCTTCATTTTGGCATTTACATACATGCTTGTAAGACAAATCTTGCTTTGTGGTAATATATCAGCCCAATTCATGGTAACATGGCTAACTACAGGGGAAAATTTTGTGTAAAAATTATCATGTCTCACAATTTATTAATTTTGATGATATAACTTTAGAATTTATGACAATATTTACTCTATGGCATCTGTGGGAAGTGGGTGCTGACTCAACAGTAAAGGCAGCTGCAGAGAGACTGCTGGTGAAGCTCAGGAGAACCAAGAATTCCTGCTGTAATAATGACGCTCTTTAATGTACCATAACTAATTTTCTGAGAACTGTTTGTATCTAAGGGGTTGAAATAAATTTGGGTCTCATGCAAATACCCCTAAATTAGAAAATACTCAGAATGATCAATGCTTCTTTTCTAAGTATCTTACACGATAAACTTGCTATTTTTCATCAAAAACAATTGTCCATAACCCTCAAATAATGGCTTCTCCAGCACTCTTTTATGAAAGAGTTTTAATCGGGGAATTATTAAATTAATTGTAAAATTTATTACTAACCAAATATATTATAGACCAAGAGTGGTGGGTGGCACTAAAGTTTCCTATGCTGTTGGATTTTATGGAATGATGATGTCAATTTCGTTGTGCTAAAAATACATTGAGAGGAAGGTGGTGGTACAGGCTCCGCGGCGCTCTCTTGGGCGGCTGTCGTCTGGTGACAGCCAGCGTTCAGCTGCTTGTTCTACCTCGCTTTCCTTCAATGCTTCGGTCAAAATTTGGTTGAATCACATAGTCTAAACTGAGTCTTGTTGGATCGAAATGAGGGTTGGAGAAGGGTAGGCCAGGAGCTGTACTGTCAAGTGACACCATCACCATGGCAACGAGATCTATGTGGTAGAGACAAGAGTTAAGAGCAACTCCGAAAGCAACGTGAAAAGAGACTGTAAATGCCATTGGTGTTTGGGGAAGTGAATACACATTAGGGGTCGTGGGTAGTGGGATAGAGGAGTGAGGCATGATGGGACTTGGTATAGCATCAGAAAGTCTGGACATAGCCCGAGTGTGACAAAAGCTGGTGTCTTTCTTGTGCGCGTGGATAGATGTAAAGCAGACGCCAGCAAGACAGCTCACCAAGTCTGTGGTAGGAAACAGAAAGAGAGCTGATTGGAAGAGAAGCGTGGTTGGCAAGCAGTGGCTCTTAACGCCTGCTATACCTTTCCTTGTAGCCAGCCCGGTGTGGGTGCCTGGCTAGGAGAAAAACAAGGACAGACAGAAGACTGTGGGCATGTTAGTGGGTCCTGGCTATTGGCAGAACTATCTGGGATACACATGCGTCTTTGATGAAGCTCAGAGCTTCTTCCTGTGTGAGGCTAATTAGATCCCATGAGCATTCAGTACCTGACTTAGGCCTCATTAGCACAAGCCCTCTCTTCAGGTGCTGATTGCCATTCTTGCTGCTGAACTGTAAAAGAAATATTTTGTGTCTCTGTAACCATACAGACAATACGGGAACTTAATGTCTTTTCTACCCTATTTCTCTTTACTTAAAAATATGAGTAATATGGAAAAAATGCCATAGGCTATTTTTCTCTTCCTTATTATATATGTATGGTGTATGGGTGAGGTGTATGCTCATAGAGGTTCAACTTCAGAATTCCATTGAGGAACAGATTTCCCTTATTCACATAGTAACCAAGACTACTTGGATCCAAGCATGCAAAAACGTCAAAAATTCCAAATACATTTCTTTAAATGCTAACTTTTAATTCACATTTTTCTATGCAGCAATGATGTTTCTCTATAAGACAAACATTGAGAGTGTATGTGGCAATTATTCTATCTGTTGAATTGTAAAAAAAAAATAAAAACAGAAAATGAGGATTACAAAGTGATTTTGTGTCCACAGCCTTGGGCCAAGTCTTTAATTAACTGGCTGACTGCCAAAACTCTCTTTACTTTGATGACATGGCTAATAAGAAAAACCTAGTCCAAAGAAGGGATGTCTAGGATGGGGCAGGGAGCTATTTTCTGAGATTAAACATTTAGTCACTGGTCTTTTGGACTGAGTGTTTCTGGCTTAATTTAAATCTTTTCATATTTCAAAAGTACTTGTTTGAGCAAATTTTCATTTAGTTTAAGAAGAATACATGAATCAAAGCTAAATATTAAAGTGCCTAGAAGTTTTAAGATAGCAATGTATTTACATGATCAATTGCAATCTTTATTTAAACTTTCCTGGTCACCCTCGTAGGATGAGGCCATTGGTACCCAGGAGCAGGTGAGACCTGCCTGTGGAGCTTGAGTTTTAGCCACACCCAGTTTCGTGGGCAGGAGACAGTGGCACACCCATCTTTACCCACAGGGGGAGCTGTCAAAAGGATGAGGGGACACTGTTCCTAGATGAGTGGGGACGCATTTGGAACACAAACAAGTTCCATAGGATCTCAACCCTTAAAATACAGTGCGTGCCACAGAGTAGCGATCAATGCCTTCAAGATTCGGAGAGACTGGTACAGACCTATCAACAGCAGGGTGAGAAAGACAAAGTGGTGTCTTGCCGATTAGTGAGTGAGGAGTTCCCAGGGCAGACTATCAGAGTTCGAATCCTGGTCCTACCACTTCTTCCTCTGACACACTGGCAAAACTTTGAGCTCTGTTTACTTCAGCTCCCCATCTGTAAAATGAAGGTGATGAAAACCATCGCCTTGGAACCATGATAGGGTTTAAATAGTCAATATTTATAATGTTAGCTTACCAGCTAACCAGATGGCACAGCGGGTAAAGACACTTGCTGTCCTATCATGGCAACCTGAGTTTAATCCTTGGAACCCACAGATAAACAACTCCACTAAGGTATCTTCTGGCCTACACCACACACACACACACACACACACACACACACACACACACACACACACACCTTAAGAGTATTTGTAATGCAATGAAAATACTATGTCATACATAGTGCTTCAAGAGGTACTTATGAAACACTAAAATAGATAAAAATTGCCTCAGGAACAGAAGACAAGGCCCTGAAAGGCCTGCCCACAAATACTTGCTGTTTTCACACAGCAAAGAGGTAAGATAGTGGAGAGGTATTCCTTTGGGAAGGAAGTGTACCTAGAATAGTAAGGTTCTGACTTTCTTGTATTAGCTACACACACTCAAGTGCATACTCTGATTCTAGATTCTTTCATCTAGGGTACTACATAGTCACAGTTGATTCAAATCTGTTGTTTTCAGGTTGTTATAGAATAGTTCACATTTGACAGCTACTATATCACATCTTGTCCTTAGAATCTGGGATGCACTATTATAAATAGAGGAAACAAAATATAAACTTCGTAACCTTCAGGTTCTGTCTGCTTTTCCTCTTTTGCTCACTTAGCACATAGTTTATTTCTTATTCACACCAGAATACTGACAAGAAGAACCACTTTCCTTGGGGTTTCTTTTCTATGTGGTGACTTAGGGACCAAGATCCTACTTTGTTGAAGCATTACCATCCTGATTTCGAGGTTCCTAAGTGTTCAGGAAGAAGGGAGAAGCCTTGCTTTTAAAAATAATGCCTGAGTATATGTTTATAGAGTTGTGCATGCGGGTGAATGTATGTGTGTGCTTATAGAAGTCAGAGTACAGCCATAGGTGTTGCTCAGGAGTCTTCATTGGCTGGAGCTCACCATAATTGGCTAGAACGCATGGCCAATGAACCCCAGGAATCCCCCATCTCTACTGTCTACTGTTGGGATTTTAAGTACATTACCATACCTGACATTTTACATGGGTTCTAGGTATCAAATTTATCCTTTCTTTAACCAAGTTCATTTACATACTGACTCCAAAGCAAGGTAAGAGTGGCAAGACTTAATTTATCCCCAAAGGTATGTGTAGCCTGAAGAAATTGAGGTACATTTAGACTCATGGGTCCTGGAGTCAGTCTCTGGCCATTGGCAAGAATTGGGCCCAAGCCACATATAGTCTTGGACTATGCCATTATCATATATCGTATCATATATTTAGCAAATGAAATAACAAATAACACAAAATGTATTGAATCTGTTCTCTACTAAGCTCTGCAATTTTCACCGAAATCTACTCTAACTTTGCTGGTTTTCTAGTTTCTCTTGAGAGTCACTAAAGAGGTGGTGAAGAAATTAAAGGACTGTTGACCGGGTGTAGGAAACACAGCTTAGAAGCACGAGAAAGCAGACAAATCGCTTGATGAATGATCGTCTGTTGACCAGAAGCAGAAGAACCATGGGGAGTTGGGGAGGAGGCATGAGTCCCAGTGTTGGTGACCCCGTGAAGTTTCTTTCCAGGCCCAGGGATTAGCCATGCAACCCACTATAATGCAAGGAGGAGGACTCAAGAAAATGCTTCCAAAACCCTGCGCATTTATGTCTTCACCTTTGAAATTCTGATCTGAGATGGACAAAACTGAACATTCCCTTCATTCCAAAGGGAAGAGCTTGAAGAGTGAGAGATGCAGCTGACTGGGCAGCTCAGGGAAGTTGCGTGAGTGAGCTCAGATCATAGAACTTTTTAGTTCACTTGCAGAACTGTGAGAAGTAATGGCCTGTCACTTAGGTCCAGTCAAGTTAGGGCTGTTTCCTTCCCAGCAGCAGCATGGGGGGCAGGGCATCCCACCAGATGGTTCAGTCAGTGAAGCGCTTACGACGCAAACACAAAGATCTGAATTTGGAGCCTCATAGCCTCCTAGAAAGTGCAGTAGCACCATCTGGAATCCCACGACTGGGCAGGCAGAGATGGGAGCATCTTTAGCTGTCCTAGCTACAGCAGTGAGAAACCCTGCCTCAAAAAACAGGATGGAGGGCCATTGAGAAGAACACTGGACACTGATGTCTCCATATACCAAGGAAGACTTGTGGGGTCAGAGAATAGCTTTGTGGGGTTCTCTCCTAATTTTATATGGGTTCTGAAGATAAAACTCAAATTGCCAGACTTATGCAGCAATTGCCTTTAACCACTTCTAAGAGCCATCTCACCCAGTGAGTCACATTCGGTCATGTGGAGATGAATGCTGGCAAAAGCAAGAGTGTTCTGCGGATTGTCATACATGAAGAGATGGGGAGTCTCCACCGTCTCACCCCACATCTTTGGATGTGCACTGTAGGTGGATAACTGCAAACTCTTAGGTCACTCCGCTGTCAGTGGGCAGACACTGGTCGTCATCTCTCATAGAGTTTACATTCTTTGCACAAATATAGTATTTAAGTATCCCAAAGGAAACCCTTACCATTTATAGGTTACTGACCCTCAAATACCCATTATCTTGGGCCTGAAATGTTGTTAAAAACATTTCTGAGGAATTAAAAAGCTGCTTTTTACTTGACTGTAATAGCCGGTCCTTCTTTTGGTTGACAGAAGAGAAGTACTTAAAGTTGGGATGATGCTTCATCTAAGCATCCAGATTCCAAGCATCATCCCCATGGAAACAGCCCCTAGGACAGGGATCGAAAGATCAGGACGCACTGGTGACTGGAAGACAGGGACTGATAAAGCTCAGCTGGTGCCCAGTGCTAGCATGCCTCTGTCCCCTGGCCACAGCTTTCAGTTAACTTAGGTTTCTTAGCTACACCAGCTAGGCAGAGATCGGACTAGCTGCAGAACAAGGGATTCATAGACTCCTACAATTTTCAGTTCCACTTAGAATGATGTTGCAATCTTTCCCCCAAAGAGATTCTAAGTCCATTGCTTCCTCCTTTTGGGAACGGTCCCTTCCTAAGGCCTTTCAAGGGAAGAGTTAAGATCAAAAGTATTCTGTATACAAACAAAACCATGAGTGTCCCCCATCCTCTTCCTTTCTCCCCCTTCCCTCTTCATGGTCTTTCTCTCATCATGAACACAGTGAAGAAGAAAACAGTCTGTCCTAGTGAATCCTTTTTATAGCCTCAGCAGAGGCCACTGGCTATTTCAGTGCATCCTAAAAACGGAGGCATTCATCATGACAGATCCGAGGGAAACTTGGTGAACGACAGAAACAAACAGCATCTGTTGCACATTCAGTCTGCCCAGATACCGTGCAGACACAGTTTACTTCCCAGCAGCCCTTGAGACAGCTGCATCAACCAGCAGAAGCTGGATGCAACTTCCTGATTATAGGAATACACATTGGATAGAAACTCCTGGAAGGACAGAGAGTAAATGAAGGAAGCATAACTGTGTTTCCGAGACCCTGCATAATGCCATGGGTGACCTCCTGATCAGAGCTGGTCTGTCAGGGACAAGCTACAGAGTTTCTGGAGTCGCTGACTGTTTCCTAGGTAAGAGCTTTGTTGTGTTCAGTGGTGCTTGGGGCACATTTCCTGACCTGGCACTACAATTCAACTCTGATTTCCTTCTTCCGGCTCCACAACTGCTCTCCGAAGCAAAGGAATGAAGAAATGATCAGAGACATTCTTTGGGAAAGCAGGTATCTTGGAGAATCATGGTGACCTTTCTCCTCTTACCTTGCTCTGATAGGTTGAGATCCAAGTCTGGGGCCCAGAGCACTGCCATTCCCAGGGGAATTCTTCCTGGCTAATGCTGGGGATATAGAAGTTGTTCTTTGAGGCACCTGGAAGAAAAGCAGAATTGAGAATTATTTCCCATAATACAATGCAGGTAGGCTACTGTCTGAGGAGTCTGGAAGACTGGCTATCAGTTGCAGAAGGTGCCTCCTTTAGCAAGAACTATCTGCCACCCTTCAGTGAAACGGCTAACTCCAAAACAGAGCCAAAGGACTGCCAAGGGTTAACTGCTGCCAAGGGTTAAGGAGGGCTGATCCACAGCTATTACGGTCATTTTAATTTTAAAACAGAAGAGGGCGCACTAATGACCTTGACTTACTGAGCTATAAGAAACTACCTTCTTTTGTTTGAACAAGTGGTAGCTAGGGGAGATCTTTGTGCAGTGAGCACCTTTACTCCTGTGGACACAGTAGGTGGGGAGATCTCTGTGCAGTAGGTGGGAGATCTCTGTGCAGTAGGTGGGGAGATCTCTGTGCAGTAGGTGAGGAGATCTCTGTGCAGTGAGCGCCCTTACTCCTGTGGACGCAGTAGGTGGGAGCTGCAGAGGGGACCAACTCCACATTTCACTTTAGCTCACACCGCAATGAACAAATAGATTATGAACTCTAGTGAAGAACTAGGGCGCCAGTCTAGACCTTGACAATAAATCACATGCTGGGGAGCCTGGAGAAGCTATGTCTTTCTTACTTACTTTTTAATATTTGTGTGTGTGTGACTCCCTGCATGCATGGATCACACGTTTGTGCTGGGTGCCCGCGAAGCTGGGAGAAGGCATCAGATCTCCTAGAACCGGGGTTCCAGGTACTTGTGAGGCACCCAGTGTGGGTGTTGGGAAATGACCCAGTGTTCTCTCAAGAGCAGAAGTGCTCTGGCCGCTAGGCGATATCTGCAGCTCTTATCACTCTTATAACATGAAAACATGGACTGTTATATTTCCTAAGCGAGTTACTACTGTTAAATACAACCCCACCCCTCAAACATTGTGTTTTGGTGGTTAATTAGTAAATGCTATTTATAAAACAGAATTAATATTAAAAATGCTAGAAGAGTATTCAAAAGTAAGGATAATACAGGTGAGAAGTTAGCACAAGTATGTATTACTAGCTCAGCCGGAAACGTGCAGAGTAGAGTTCAAAGGTGGCTTCTCTCACAAAGCATGCAGACACCTGCTTGTGCGCTCAGGTATTATGCAACAGGAGTTCATTTTTTTTTTTTTTGCAAGAAACACACAAATATTAGTGCAAAAGATGACTTTCAATGTAAGTGTCATCCTATTTTGAAAAAAGTGTTTTGTTATAATTCATTTATAAGGGAGCATTCCTTATGTGGAGTCAACTGAAAAGCCCAAAGACATTTGCATGTATGTGTTTTCATATGTGTGCACGTGAGTGTGACAGCCCTGTGTATGTATGCCTGTGGAGCTAAGGGTCAATGTTGGGTGGCTACGCCTCTGCCTGTCTCTCTGTCTCTGCCTGTTTCTCTCTCTCTCACTCTCTCTCTCTCTCTCTTTCTGTGTGTGTGTGTGTGTGTGTGTGTGTGTGTGTGTGTGTGTGTATGACAGAGTGTCTCATTGAACCTGGCAATAGGTCTTCTTGTCTCCACCTCCTCAAGACTAGAGTTAAAGACATATGCCACCATGTCTGACTTTTATGTGAGTGCTGAGGTCCTGAATTCAGGTTCAATGCCTGTATGACAAGCACTATACTGACCGAGTCTCCTCTCTACAGGACCTAGACCATTTCCTGAACCTTCAAAATCTGGTTGAGTTTTGTGCTGTTAAATATAAGAGTAAGTGAATTTTCTTTTGTTTCTTAGGTTTGTTTAGCTATAGATGCAATAGTCCTTGAAAATATCCACTAGTCTATCTTCTAACAGGAACAGCAAAATGGTCTAGAGTGTTTGGGGTTGAGAGATCCAGTTCTATGTGAAGACACACACTTCACTTCCCTGTCACTCATACTGAGTCTCTGCCCCTGTGGGAAAACAAAGATCAGAAATGACTGCCTAAGACTTAGCTTAGAGAAGGGGCAATGGCAGCTGTGAGGAGGGAATGGCCTAGGCACAATCGTGTTCTCCAAACTGTGTAAGGGATGGAATAGTGGTGGGTGCTGATGGTGGTGGTGACAGACACATTCAGCATGGAGGACACAGACACACTGTGTCTCCGCAGCACTGACGTTACCTTTGGTGGAATATCTTCTTCCTGTCGTAACCAAGAGCTTCGGTCGAACTTCTCAATGCGAGTCGGGAGAGGAGGGTTTTCTGAGGTGGGATCTGAGTTCTGGCGTGGCATCTCAACCCTGTGAGAGGTCACATTCAGAGCCTCCTGGAACCCAGACAGGCCCTTTGTGGGTTGCTCGTGCACTGACTGGGAGACGGTCAAGGCAGGTCCCTGGGATTTTACAGCTACCAGCTGTGGGATCTAAGCAGACAGCACAAGGCCAGCATTATTAGAAGCTCATAGGTTGAAGAGACAAGAAGTTCTGCATGCAGGAATTGAATTCCTCAGAGCTAGTGGCAGGGTGGTTTTCAGTTAGCCATAACTGCACGTGGGATGAGCCGCACAGGCCGAGACCCTCCTGCTAGTCAAGGCTGCACACATGCTTCTTACGGCCTTCAGAATCTTCAGTTTAGAAAACACGGAGGGCTTAATCAGGGATTCTGGCAACAGGCTTGGTGTTTTCGCTGGAACTGCTGGTAAGTCAAGGAACAGTGTGGTGGTAGTGACAATAATTACCTTTAGTCAACATTCCTTGGACAGCGGCAAAGCTGTTTTATAAGCTATCCCATGCTCCCTCTTGTAAAGTCCTTAGCTTTGACTTTAGACACAGTGTTCTGTGGAAGACGAAACGCTCTAAACGGCTTTCCTCTCCGGAGATCACTGAGTCCACCCTGGGGTAGACACAGCCGGTCTCCTTTCAGACTTGAGCAGTCCCAGGTGGAAAGAGATTAAGTAGATTTCACCACTGAGCTGAAGGCCAGTGTTCCACTCCTCAGAGCATCTGACCTTTATAGTGTACTCTTTCTTCCTTATGTGTTTCTCCCCGTGCCCTGTGTGTGCGTGTGTGCTTGTATGCAGGTGCACATGTATGTTTAGAGGCTGGAGGTCAACTTCAGAATGTTTACCTGGTTTATAGTCTGACTCTCTGACTCTCTCCCTCCCTCCATCTCCCTCTCTTTCTTGAGACAGGGTCTCTCTGTGTAGGTCAGGCTGGCCGGGAACTCAGTGTAGTCAAGTCTGGCCTTTAACAATGTACAGAAATCGACCTGCCTCTGTCTTCTGGGTGCTGGGATTAAGGCTTGTGTCACACATGGCCGTCACTTTGTTTAAAACAGGGTTTCTCGCTGGCTTGGAATTGCCAATTTGACCAAGTTGCTGGCCAACAAACCTCAAGGGTTCTCTGCACCCACTTCTCCAGTGTTAGGTTTACAAGCATGCACTACCATGCCTGAATTTTTATGTGTGTTCCAGGGCCTGGACTTGGGTCCTTGTATGGCAAGTCCTTTGTGGAATGGCCCATCTCAGGTCCTGCAGGACTGGCTAACACTGCTGATAATATACACCATCCCCTGATGTCAGGATAATATACACCATCCCCTGATGCCAGGATAATATACACCATCCCCTGATGTCAGGATAATATACACCATCCCCTGATGCCAGGATAATATACACCATCCCCTGATGCCAGGATGTTTCTTGAGGAGTTATTTCAATAGTTAGGCACGCAGTGCTTTGGTCCATGCAGGGATGGCTTCTGGGATTTTCATTTGGCCTCTTAAGAAAAATCACCCAAATCCAGGCCACAAGGGAGCCCTTCACCACTACCTGTACCACTGTGTTCTGTGACTCCTGAAGCCTACCCTACCGCAGCAAGTACACTGCATTCGTTATTGGAGCCTGAGTCCATCTCTGGGCCTGGCCTGTAGTCCATGAACCATGACTCGGAAGAAAAAGGGATCTCGAGTGCTTCCCAAATTAAACTGCTAATTCAAGCTACATTGATTTCCTGTTGGTTGTGTACAATGACCTGCCAAGCCCTCTTTTATAATTCCTGTTGGAGTGTTATACTGACAAGCAAGAAAATCCTCAGTGCTTGGCTCTGTTCGGCTTCAGCTGGATAGACCTTGCAATGTACATGTGGATGTAAATACCATTAAATATATTAAATAACATTAAAACAAAGCACAGTGAAGTATCTAGTACAAAACCCAAACTCACTTGAGCAGACCATTCCAAGCACCCTAAACATTGAAGCACCCGAAGATTGCTTCCATAGAAAGTCTATACTTTTCTTCCCTCTTTATTTCAGAAGGCACACTTCCCCAGAAGGCTCCCCTTTTATAGGGCAAAGGTTCATTATAAGGTCAACGTTGAAGGTTTTAAAAAGAAGGCAAACCCTTGTTAAATATCCCCTTTATAAGTCTGCAAGAGATAATTATGTACAGATAAAAACAATCAGGGGAAGGTATATTAAGTTGGTTGGTGCTGAGAAATCTTGAATTTTGTTCATTGCTGCCAACTTAAAATACAAAAAGCCTTGATTTTTTAATCATTATTCTTTTAAGTTCCAGTTCAAACATCAGTGCATATTTCAAAGGTGGCCTGAAAACACACTGGAGAAGCCTTACTGCAGCTGGGTGCTGGGAAGGAATTAAAATGCTTGTGTGAACAAGCTGTATCACCTTTTCCTTTATGGAATTTCCTCATTCTATTTCACTTGGAATTTCATCTATGCAGAAATAGTCAGAATGCATCTTCCCTAACAGTGAAGTAATCTTTCCATACCAAATGTCTTCACATAGTGCTTCTAAGCCTTTACAGGGCACCAGAATCAACCCGGAAGGCTTTTAGAGTCAGCCTGGCAGGCCTGACCCCGAGTCCCTGGTCATCAGGTCTGACACAGACACGTGTGTGTGTGTTTTCATGCTCATGGTGCTACAGGTTGCTGACCTGGGGGAGCCATGCCTGGAGAGCCACAGGCTAAGAGGGCACATGTTTATTTCACCAAGCCGATTCTAATGCTCCCGTTCAGATTTCCACCCGTGTTTCAAGGAAATAAGAATATGTGTACATATGTATATAGTCCACCTGAGAGATCTATATATGAATTTTAATTCTTCTGCTTGTAGCTACAAGAATGCTTGTCCCCACCCTGCAGAACTTGCAAGGTTCTCCACTGGAGCCACTTTACCAAGAAGTGACCTTGAAGTTGACTCAAAGTCAACAGCTCTAGCTCCCATTTATCTTCTGGAGCCTCTCAATGCAGAGAGGCTTCTGTCCCTCTGAATGCCATGCTAGAACCTTCTAGACTTTTAAAGCTTTCCTGAGTACAAGTGCCCACTAAAACAGAAGAGACATTATACCTGGGGGTCAACAGGTCTGAGCATTGGGGGTGTCCGAGCAGGCTGAACCCCACTGATGCTGAAGGACTCCGATCTTGGGGGCAGGTTGGGGTCAGAGATCCTGTTGGCGACCTTGTGAGGCATGGCAGGCGAACTCTGTCTATTTAGTCTTGAGCGTTCTTCTACCTAGAGAGCAAAGGAAAAGAAAGCCTCAATGACCAGAAGTTGGTGCCTTTTCCAGTAAGATTTCCTGTAATCACCCACACAGGCAGGCATTTTTATCTCTCTGATGAATTCAAAGAGCCCAAACTTGTCATTTTTGTTTGGCAGCAAGATCTTTTTCTCCTGTCCATCCTTTTCTTTTCCCCTTTACTTTCTCCTCGTGGAAGTTCTTCCGGTAAACAAAGACATGCATGGCACTTGAGCCCTTGCCCTTACGTTACCCATTAGCTTGTCTTAGTTCAGCTAACTGGGCATTCACAGCCTGCTAAGAGGTTGTCTTGCGCTCCTTGGGCTACCATCCTACTGATTAGTCACAAAGCCATAGCACCAGGCAGGGAAATGGTGTACACTGCAGATAATCAAAGGGGACTATGGTGGGCAGCAATGCTACAGCTTAGAGGAAAATAGAAACTTGCACTGGGCTGACTCAGGACACGGGGGCATGAGCCACATGAGGACTGAGGGAGAGGTGGCACACAGGAGCTCCCTGCTTCTCTGCGTGCTGCTGATGGGCATGGGGGCGTCTGGATGCTACTTAATGGCATGCCTGTCTTACCCAGACTTCCTGTATCATTTTCTTTTTCTCCTCAGGGCCCTTTCCTTTCAGTTGTCTCTCCCTGTTACCCCAAATACACTGCTCCTCCCATGTTTTCTGTTCCCAGAAGGACTCTGATGCCCCACTCCCTCCGACTCCGCTCCTGCTGCCCACCTTCTAGCCCTTCCTCCTCTCCCCAACTCCTGCCCCTTCTCTTCCCACAACCCATTTTGTTTCCTTGTCAAGTCCTCTTCTCCAGGGTTTTTCTCAGCCTAAGGACTTCCCAGCAGAAGCTCAGAGAACAAGTGGCTCTTCTTAAGCAGATAAAAAGTCACTCTCAGTCAGACCATATTTATAGCAGCAGATCGACCATCACAAGGATGACTTGAGAGTTAAATGTCCATCATCAAAATCAAGATGGAAGACCTTGATCAACTCCAAAAGGTCTAGACTTTTGTTCTGGGTTTATCTTATACTCTCCTATATTTCTTTAGTGTCAACATAATGTTTGTGCCTCTCAAGCATGCAACACAACACCACACACCAAACTCCTCACCTTGCTGGCTCATTAGAATGAGTCCTTAACACCCTTCCATGGACTCAATATTCAGGTCTGTCTGTATGTGCCAGCTAAAGTTGAAATTTTCCTTTCTTTCCTTTTTCCTTTATTCTTTTCTTCCTTCCTTCCTCCCTCCCTCCCTTCTTCCCTTCCTTTCTCTCCCTTTCTTTTCTCTCTCCTTCCCTCTTTCTCCTCTTTTTCTCTTTTCTTTTTTGCCTGATTTGAAACAAAATTCAAAAGTCCTCTTCATTCTCATCTTCCTTACCCTATTTTGAATCTTTCTAGAGACAGGCCTGTTTCCCATTCATAATAAGTCTGTTTTAACCTCAAACATTTAAACAAGCTTCATTAAGCCACAGATTAGGAAATGGCCCTCTTGCCTCAGTGCGGTGTAATTTGAACATCTCTTCCCCCACTATGACTTTGTGGGATGTGTCTGATTGACCTCCACTTGACTTTGGCTTTGAAATGTCAAGTCCTAGAAATTCACCACACACCCAATTATACTAGCCACAAAAGACCAGAGATATAAACCAGGGAAATGTTTACTTTGTGAGTGCATAAAGCATTATATCAGTAATAATTACTTGGCCATTGTACTGAGTAGAAGAGCAAAGCCAGCGATCATTTCAAGACCTCAAAGCCCCAAGAAGATGGCAACAGCCAAGCCAAGTACCACTTCTACATTCCAGACTTCTTGCAAGAAAAGAAAGCGGCTATTCTTTGACCACTACAATTCCTATCTCCTCCCTCCCTAAATGTTTGTGTTCAGGAACTCTGAAGAGTAGAAACAGTTCAGGGGAATACCTGGATTTCTACACTCTGGCCACCCAATATCCCAAACTCAGGGTGCATTGTGGTATAGAAATGAGCATATAACCATATGTTCAGAATCAACTATATTCAGAGTGAGGCATACTTGTAATGATTATTGGTGTTAGTTTTAAGCTGTCGGATACAGGGCGAAAAGTGAGTGCCGATTTCACAGGGAGCTTGTGTGCCTGATTAGTTGTGTGGAGAGGTTACTAAGCAACTGCTGGACATAATTTCAATGCTTTCAATCAGTTCATGCATTAGCACCTACCTTTGTATGTCTTAATCTGCCATAGTCCATATCATATGAAATAAATAACCAGTTGTTAATTCCAAGCCAATAATGTCAACATGGGTCAATGTGCTGAATTTTATAAGGAGGAGATTGGACAATAAAATGGTAAAGCCATGAGAAGGTTGTAGTATTAGGGCATTCAAAAGATTTTTATATTCACTGTGTGTGTGTGTGTGTGTGTGTGTGTGTGTGTGTGTTGTGTGTGTGTTGTGTGTGTGTATGTGTGCCACAACATGTCAGAGGTCAGAAAACAACCTCTGGGCGTTAGTTCTCGCCTTCTGCCATGTGGGCTCCAGGGATTGAACTCAGGTTACCAGGCTTGGAAGTCAGCATCTTTAGTTGCTGAGCTATCTTGCTGGCCCTTACTCTATTTTTTGTCACTAGAAAATCTTGCCTTAAAGCAGTAAGGAAGGTTGGAACACAGACGTGCTTAGCACCAAAATTTCCCCTTAATTACTGGAGGAAAGACACCAAACCAGACATTGGAAATAGCATTTTCCAGAGAGAAGGTTGAGTGTTCTTAGAAGAAGAGTTTTCAGAAGCCAGGCAAAGGTCTGTCCTGACTGACGACAACTTACGTCTACCAACTGAACAGAAGACAGTAATGTGAGAAGAAAAGAAAACAGCTTAGGTGGGTAGTGGTGGTACACGCGTTTAATCTCAGTACTTGGGAGGCAGAGACAAATGAATCTCTGTGAATTCGAGGCCAGCCTGGTCTACAGAGCTAGTCTCAGGACACCCAGGGCTATATAGAGAAACCCTGTCCCAGAAAAAACAAATAAACAACAATAACAAAAAAAAAAAACCCCAAAGTGGCTCTTTCCCATATCAAAGCTAAACACAGCTAAGGTGGGCACAGTCCAGACCTGCTTCCACCTGCCTGAGGAGAGGTGTAGTGTTAGAGGATTTGCTCCAGCCTCCTGCCACCAGGGAGATGGGAAAAACCAGGGGTATCAGCAGGGTGGGTGTACGGCTCTGTGAATAAAGTGCTTTTTGCACAAGCATAATGACCTGATTTCAGATCCCCCCAAATCTCAGTAAATCCAGATGTGGTGTCTCTGTGGTGCACATCTGTAATCCCAGTGCTTTTGTGGCCCTATGGGAGGTGGAGACAGGTGATCCCTAGACATGCCCATGTCAACTGACCTGGCATATACAGCAGTGACCAGCATGCATTGTAAAGAGAAGACATGATTCAGCGCTAAGAGAGTTAAAAGATTATTCCATGCAATGATCATGCAAACAGAACATCCTGCTGCACGCTGCTGCAAGTTAAAATACCATTTGGAGTGGTAACGGGTGACTCAGACCACCTGATGCCATTTTAGTGCACATGAGAAAGCCAAAGAAATTTCTATCATCTGAAAGATGAGAAAAATGTTCAAGTTCTGCAGATGGATAGACACGACATCATACTAACACTTTCGCAGGGCTATTCTGATTTCCTTTGAAATTAAGAAAGAGTAAGGGAATTTGAAAAGAGTGAGCTTGCCTCAGCAGCCTTTCAATGCAGACATTCACATTCCTTTCTGGCTGAAATCTGAAAATCAAAGCCACAGGCTTGCTAACTGCCTGCCTAGCTCTAGCTTCAGCGAGAGAGCCTGTCTTAAGGAATAACTCATATTTTTCCTCTGGTGTTTACACATGCATGTATTGGTGCATGCATCTGAACTACGCCACACACACACACACACACACACACACACACACACACACACACACACATACACACCAGAGGCTGAAGCATTGCGTCACATTACTGAAGAAAACTTGTCAATTTGGAATGAAGTTGGACAGAGGATTAATATAAAAAAGAATGATATGGTCTTGGAGATAGATTGATGGTCATTTAGAGGCCAGATTATGTTAACCACACAATAAGAAAAGGCTGAACATGAAATTGTTAAAAGAATATGCCCACACATGTTTAGAGCTGTATTAAGTCCCAAGGAAGAACAATGGTGGCTGGGAAGCCTGGTATCTCGAATGATGTCACCTACTAGACGTGGCTCAAATTTGTGGTGACCAGAGACCCTCACATCTGGACTGCTTGATGGCACAGTGGTGCTGTTTATGTGTCCAGCTGTTCTATTTGTTTGTTTGTTTATTCATTCATTTATTTGTTTGTTTGTTTGTTTATTCTTTTACTGATAGGAACCTGGGCAGGAAACAGGGGAGGCAGAAGGTCCACAATACTGCTCTAATGGTATCAGTAGAGATTTGCTGCCAGGAGAGCTTCTGAGAGCCCAGAAACTGTGAACTAATTATCAATAGAGAGGACAGGCCAGGGAACTTAATGATGGCGACAACACACAGCAGAAAACAATGAAGTCAAGGCAGACAAGCTCAAATCAGAGCTTGCTAGAAGCTGATGGAAAGAGGCGGAAACCACAGCACACCCTCCTCTTTCTGGGTGTGTTCTAACATGGGGAGCTGCCTATAAAAGAAGGAATTTAAGGACGCTTGGCACGGAGGTTTGTGATCTGCAGGTGTCCCTTTCCTAAGCTTATGCTAGGAACGAGGAACACTGAAAGCTGGGAGTTGTGGTCACTTGGTCCTTGTTGTGGACTATAATGGCAGTAGCCCTGGGGAGGGCAGCACACTGGCTCTCTGAACAATTACATGGGCAGGAGTTGAGGATTTTAACCCAGCATGGCTAAGAAATGGCTCAGCAGTGGAGCAGGACAGCCAGGAAGCCTATTGCTTGGCAGCACAGTGGTTCCGCTGATGCAGAGTGGTGTGGGTTATTCGGGGGTTCTGAAGCCTTAACTCCGCTGGCAACTTAGTGGGATTTTAAATCATCATGGAAACAACTCTCTAAACATCCCTGAGAGGGATTACCTAGATCTGAGTATCTGGGGTGGGAAGATGAACCCTGCATGTGTGTGGCACCGTGCTGAGGGCTGGAGTTCCAGACTGAATGAAAAGAACATGTGACCTGAACACAGGCCTTCCACTGTCTGCTTCCTCAGTGCTAACACAAGGTGACCAGCTGCCTCTTGCTCCTACTGCCTTGCCTTCTCTGCCATGATGGACTGCATCTCTTGGAGCTGCGAGTCACAGTAAACCCCTCCTTTAGCTGCCCTTGCTGGGGATCCTGTCACAGCAGTGAAAGAAGGAACTAACAGCAGGGTCAGTGCTCTATCCGGGAGCAGAGGCACAAACCTGAATTATTGATCTAGGTCGGCAAAGGTCACTACAGGTCATGTTATAGACTGTAACAGAAAGTGATTGAACATGCATGCTCTTTATGCCAATCAAAGTGATTTGCTCTATAGACTTAGTTCTTGAACATTTGAAAAGTTATTTCCCTGTAATAGTAAATGTCAATTGAAAAGGATTCAAACAATATATAAAGTAGTAACACATTACAGAAAATATTATTCTTTGATTGCTATCTCTCATTTACTATCATGATTAGGACATCATTTCTAGTATTCCCTATACCTAGTGAGATAAGATAGAAAAAGAAAATAAAAATAGAATTGTGGGTCTGGTTCTGGTAATTTTTTAAAAACAGCCTAGATATAAATACCTAAAGAAGCTGTTGAGAAATAAGAAACAACCATAAGCACCCCTTTAAGTGATTAGATATGATCACAAGAATACAAGGAAGTCACTGTGTGTCCCACCGACAGCTCTGGAGCCTGATGTACCTCATGTGTGTGTGGGGGGGTCAGTCTTGTCTGGGTACTGATTTTTGCTTTACCAGTTTGGTTATAATCTCTTTATTTTTCTTCAAACCAACAGTTTTAAGTTATATTTTATAACCAGTGCTTCACAAGACCACACTCCTAAAATCCTACCTTAGTCTGTGGGTTGAGAAAATGAAGGACTATTACTTTGGATGTAGCCACAAGTGTGTGACCCATTGCGCACCTCTGAGACCACAGTGAACTAGGCAGGGTGAGCAGTTGGCTATGGGCAGGACATGACCCTTCCGCCCCCTGCAAGACGTGCATCATATTCCCCCCACAATCGTCCTCATGCTACATAGCCAACGGGATGCCCTGTGTGAGCGTGGTGCGAGGAGGATGTGCACGTGTGAATCCAAGTGTGTGTGTGTGTGTGTGTGTGTGTGTGTGTGTGTATGCATGTGCGTGTGCACATGCATGTGTGTGGAAGCCAAAGGCCAGTCTTGGTTATCACTTCCCACTGCCTTGCTTTATGAGATAGTCTTTCAATGGGTCCCAGCATCAGGACAGGCTGGAATTGGGTACCAGATATCCTCTTGACTCCACCTCCTCATTTCCGGGATTATAAGCATTCTCCACCATGTCTGGTTTTTTTCTATGGATATGGGAGGTTGCACTCAAGTCCTTGTGCTTACGAGGCGAGCACTTTACCAAAAAGGCCATGTCCCTAGCACCTCTAAATAGAATTGATTGTATAAGGAAAACTAATTTTTGATGCTTTTTCCCTACAAAAATTCACTTTACTCGAGAAGGTGCACAGGAAAAATACCATGAGCAGCACCAGACACATCACCATTTCTCTGCAGTGACATCATGGCTCCTCCAGAAGTGAGGTGTGCCTCTTATGACGGGTTGTCTTCCAACCGCACAGCACTAATGGGATCTGGGCTCCCAGTGAATGGGCTCTCAGTGGGGAACTGGACCAACGGACACAGCAACTCTCCCTCTCTTACCTCTTTGGCCCAGGCTGGCTTCTCACTGGGACTCATGCCCTCCTTGTAATGGTACAGTGGCTTCTTCTCCAGGGGCCTCTGCTCCTGCCGCTGATGCTGGAGGGAAACCAGGTAGTCCCGCTCTTGCTTTAGCTGCCTCTGAAGTCTTTCCGCTTGCCTCTGCTCTTCCAGCTGTTTGCGCTTGTATTCCTACCCAGAGCAGGAAGAGCAAAGAGGGCACGTGACCACATGCAACCACATTGCCACGCTGAGCATCAGCAAAGCATGCAGTGGAGACAACAGGAAATGGGAGACAAACAGAATTCCAAGAAGGATACAAAGTACCCGCAGATAACCCCAGGCCTCATGTTAGTGTCCACACAGAATGTGTCAATACAAACATGACGTATGGCATGCCATGATGCTTTAATAGCAGTGCCTACAGAGCACCACTTGGGAAGTGACATGTCGCTGGAGAATTGCAACACAGAGGCAGGGTAGTCAGACTGTCATCCCTAGAAGGAGTCATTCACTTCCGGATTTGGTAATTCGGTCATTTACAGATATGTGGTAGAGTATACAACCAAATAACCAAACAGTCTAACAGCCAAATAAATAACCAAACAATCAAATAAACAATCAGAGATCGCCATCCTTTAAATAAAACCAAGCTTATGGTTAAGGTTAAAAAGATAGCAGAATGCCACTGAAAAAATAAAAAAGAGGTACACCAAGAAGCCCATTTGGAGAGCCATATAGCAGCAGTAATAAAAGTTCTTCCAGTGGATGTGGCTTGAGCAGGAAACAAACTGTTCCCATTCTAAGGGCAGGACTAACAGCCTGCGAATGACACATGAGTGCAGGGCTGAGCAGGCACTGTGGGCTGAGGTTCATTTGCTGTGATTGTATTCCAGAGTGCTGCAAATGGCTTTCACAATTACACGGCAATAAACACGGTGGGTCTTGAACGCAGTTTGAACTTATAATAAGGCTGGATTCATGCTAACGTTCCACAAGTGGAGGGAGTTAATAAAGTGTGCTAAAGTGTTGAGGACTGAACAAACTGGGTCAGGAAATTTTATGAGGCCTCTGTGAGATTCTGAGGTCTAGGAGGTTGGACGGAAAGACCTCATATTTTTAATCGGCATGTTAAGAGAAGGAAACACAAAGACATATATATGCAGACACGCACACACTCACACGCGCACGCGAGCATACACGCACTCAGGGCGAACACCAGGCGGGTCTGCTGGTGTGTGACTTTCCCATTACCAGAAGTAGAGCTTGTTCATGCAGTAGCTGCTGCTGTAAGATCTCTAACTGTCTCTGCTCCTCCTCTAACTGACGCCTGATGTACTCCTGGTGAGGCAGCAGCAGAGAATGGGGCAGAACGGAAAGAGGAAAAGAGAGAGAAAGAACCAGTAATTGCATAGGTAACAGGAGCTTCCAAGGGAAATGCAGGAGAAGGGAAGGGGAAGCGTACCCAGCACCTCACCGCACAGGAAGAGAAGGCCATAGCAAAGCAAGCCTTTCAATGCAGTCAGAAGCACAGTCCCCGTGCCAGCAGCAGCTGACTGAGAGGGCTCGGCATTTCCCTGTCTCTATGTTAAAGCTTGTTATTAGGCACCTTTCTTACAGACTCCTTGGAATTAACAATGCTATAAAGTTCTGAGGCTCTGTGCCAGCAGCAGGCACAGAACACAGGTGCAAGGTTAGCATGCTCGGTCTGTATAACAGATCCATCCCACAGCTCGCAGACTCAGGCTGGGATTTTATCAATTAGAGAAGCCACTACCAGGAGTTGGAGAGCAGAAACAAACTGAGTAACATAGTTCATCTTCAATGATGGTAGAGTGGCAACTTGTTTCCGTGCAGGGAAGTCAGAAGTTCTAGGGGTGTCAGGGGAGGCCCTGGCATGGCCACTGTCAAGCTGTGCACTTGTCTGCGTGAACAGGTAAGAACTATTGCTTGAGAAAAAGCAAAACCACAGTAGAACAGCCCTTGGAGACTAAGTCCTATGCCCCAGAGAGCTCCCTGGTGCTGTGGTTCCCAGGGGGCACATTGTGGGTGGGCTTCCCCCGGCTTCCCCCTCCCAGTACCTGCTCATGCTCCGCGCGCCTCCTCTCCTCCTCCCTGCGCATCTGCTCTTCATAGTGTCGGCGCTGTTCCCGCTCCTGCTGCTTCCGGAGCTCCTTTTCTCGCCTCTGTTGCTGTGGGTGACAAGCAGACACCATGTTAGCAGTGGGTACTGATGACATTAGCATGAGATCTGCCCTCGACAGACATGAGCTGTCAAGAGCTCTCAAGGACAGATGCCCAAATGCTCCAAGACTTTTCCTCTCGGGCTACTGGGGGACACATGGACAAGGAGGGGCGATATCAAGAGATTTGGGGTTATGTAGACCATGTTGTCATTTGCCAGGAAAGTGCTCTTTCTGTGGCCATTTGGGATTGTCAAAACAGGCTACAAAAGACCAGCCGTTTTTGATCTGTCAGACTCCAGAAACCCATTGCATTACGTCCTTCAATCATTCCACTATCAGGTCATGCAAAGATTTCGGAGATACAAGGCTACAATAAATGGAGTGGATATTCCAGGCCACATACTGAGTCCACAGAACTCACAGACTCCCACCTAGACCACATCCCTGTGGCTCACACTGGAATGCTTCTGTTTGCTGGAGGACTCACGTGTAAACGCAGACGTCACCTCTTGCTCAGGTAAAACCCTATGCTAAGGGAACACCACCATGACCTCATGTCATGTCATGTCATCACCTCATCTCTTACGACTGCCCCATCCAAGAGTGAGTGGTACAATCCACACGGTAAGTGTCTATCTCGTTTCATCTTCAAAATGTCTTTTGAGGTAGATGCTGTTATCACCAGTTTAATGCAAATACTGTGCCAAGGGAAGAGTGCTTTGTTCAAAGTCATGTTACTGTTTAAGGTTTGTCCCAGGAAGAAGCAGAGCTTGACCCCAATGCCAGTCATATGCTCCAGGACCTATGCTCAACTATTTTGTAGATGGAGAGACAGAAAATGTGGGAGACAACCCCAAATTAACATGACTCATTCCACTTTCAGAAAAGGAGAGGATTTGGGAGAGCTGAGAACTAAGCTCAGGAGCTGGTGCTTCTGAGGTAGGGATGATGTCATTCCCCACTTCCAGAAGACTAGAAACTATTTGGGCATGGGAATGGCTTTGGTGACTGTACTAATAACTGAGCCGCACAACTGGCATTTAGCACTAGGGACAGATACAACAAGCATCTTGCAATGCACAATATCACATGTAAAACAATGCTCTCCAGTACATGTAAAGTACTGCTCTCCAGTACTCCTGGAAGCACCTATTTTGGGAACAGCTGTGGGTCTTTTGTGCCAGACTGTGAGAGCTTGGATTTCTTTTTCCGCGGTTAGGAGGTTCTAAGAAAACAGACCAGGTACCACTAACTCCCTGCAATGTTCTCACAGCGCTTCATCGCATGGCAAGGAGGGATGAGATGTTCCAGAGGGAACAGCCCCCATTCTGTTGACAAGTCAGTTCTGCAAAACCAGGGGAAAGCCATTCCTCCACAGCTGTCTGCCGCAGGCCCTCAAAGCACCAAGAAACCTGGGGGAAAGCCTTGTTGCCCTAGTTTTAGCTACGATCTTCCAGCATATCAGGGTATGCTGTGTATCAGTGGCCTCAGAACCTTAGGAAAGAAGCTGCCCTGTGAGACTCGGTATCTGTCATTTCCTCACTTGAAAACACGTATCCAGCTTGCACTGTGTGTGATGAGGAGCCCCTGGAGGGCTTTGTGTAGCCGAATGATGCGACATTTTGAAAGTGAAACTTGCACTTACAAAAGGCTCCCAACAACTATTAGACACTAACAAAAGCAGGGTGAGGCCTTCCTGCAGGTCTAGGCATGAGTCAAGAGGGCACCGGTGACGTCACAAAGGCAGGCTGGGTACCACCGTGCATCCTTACTACCAAGGAAGGAGGAGTCGCACAAAGGAAGAAAGGTTCCAGATTTTTGTTCACTCTTCAATGACTTAGGAATTGTCAGCAGACCAACGTGAAACAGAGAGGTTCTTGAACGTGAGAGGGGATAGAGCTCTGGGCTATGGGGCATCCCATACAGTGTAATGAAGAGGAGAAGGAAAAAAGAAGGGGTGTGTTGTTCCCAGACAAGCAATTATTCATTTCACAGAAAAAAAAATAATTCAGAGGAACGCAAGAGGTAAACATTGTCCTTAGAGCTGAGTGAATAATTTGGATGGCAGACCCAAAGCAGAGGTATTTCCGACACTCGACGGATGTGAATTACACCAGCCTGAATAATAAGATAATGAGGGCACTGATCAGTCTTCTGGCAGTAAATAGCCCTCATTCAGCTAACATTTCCAGTTTGTTACTCTTATTGGTTTCTTTCTTGAGGAAAAAAATAACCAAGCCTTTAGAAGTTTTAGCTGAATTTTACGTAGAACGTTTGTCCGTTTTCAGTCTGTCTGCCAGAAATCAATACTGTTTTGTAATTATGTGCCACTCGGGTTCCCACGCAAAGGTACACACAGAATTGATTGCAACCGAAGAAGGCAGGGCTTCCGAAGTATTCTGCAGCTTCTGAGAAAGACACTCAAAAGTGGCTAATAATTAATAATGATCTCACTCAGATCAGCCACTGGTCACACACAGAGGCACCTGCCAGGGTTTCGGTTCCTGTCATGAAGTTAGGAAAATAAATTACCTCCCCTGCCTTCTGAAGGCACCCTGCCAACTTCCGACTATGTGTCTCAAGGCTGATGCCATGCCTAGAAGGATGTTTATGGTCTCTCCGTTTGGGCATAGGGTTGTTGGAGAGGACACATCAAAACATGCCAGAAAAAACTTCTGACTTCAAGGAGACCCTTACAAAGCCTTTGGGGCTCTCTCTAAAAGCACCTCTTAGAAGACAAGGCCAATGCTCAATTCCTGCTCAACTTCAACCTCTCACATGGGCCCTGACATGGAAAGACATGTTGTACTAGACACTAGACCTGGTGTTGTGTGCTGTAATTCTAGTTAGTAGTTGAAAGGTCGAGGCAGACAGAATGCCTTGAGTTTTAGATCAGTTAGGGATGTATAATGAGTCTCTGTCTCAGAGAAAAGGTCTTTTGAATTCAACAGAGTAAAACCTTTGGGGGGAAAAAGAAGACACTAACACATTATTCTCCTGAAGCATTTTGGCATTTTCTTATCAGCACGACTGACATGTATTACATCACACTTCATATTACTTTTTGTGTTTGTTTGATTAATTTTGTGATCTAGATGAAAAGATATTATGTGTTTCTATTTCAGGTTTTATCATTTAAAAATGGTTTATTTACTTAAATAGGTCAGAAGAGGGTGTTGGATCTCCCTGGAACTGGGGTTTCAGGCTGCTGTTAGCCACCCAGTATGGATCCTAGGGATTGAACCATGGTTCTTTGCAAGAACAGAGAACCCCTTTACCTGCTGAGCATCTTCCCAGCCCTCCAGCCTGTGCCTTGGCTGCTTCTCACACACACTGTGTCATTACCCGTATTTGCTGTCCACATGACTGAAAGGCAGAAGAACAACCCAAGGGGAATGTGCTAGCTGATTTTAACAGTCTCTTTGACTCATCCCCCAGGACAAGAGTTTTAATTCAGGAATTGTCTGGATCAGGCTGGCCAGTGAGCATGTCGGTAGGGAATTGTCTCGATAATTGGTGGAGCAGGACCCAGTCCACCACGGGCAGCACCATCTCATGGCTTGGGCTGTGCAGAGGGAGGAAAGCTAGCTGAAGGCAAGCAAGCAGCATGGGCTTGTTTCCCCCTGCTGTTGACTATGGAAATGATGTGGCTAGCTGCTTGAGCTCCTGCCTTGACTTCACGTGATAATGGATGGCAAGGTGAAATTTTACGCTGAGTGAACCCTTTCTTTCCAAAGTTGCTTTTTAGTCTGGGGATTTGCCACAGACACAGGAAAAACAAAAACCAGGGCAGAGGGAAAGAAAGTTTTCTGCAGACTGAAGAGGACCTGTCTTTCTGCAGCAGCCCTTCCAGGTCAGAAGGTCACCACAGTGTATGCCCCTATGAGACTGAGAATGCTTTAAAAACCAAACAGCCCCAGCGCCACAACTGGTCCTGGTACAACTATTGCCAATGTTGGTTAAAAGTATGAAAATAAATCGAGGCTACCAGCTTGTGCTGGGAAGAAGGGAGAGCGAGGGCTGAAGCAGGATCCTGAGGTTGCACTTGATTTGTGTATAATGATTATCATGTCCTGCTATCAGAGAGAATGTCTTCAACCAACCACATGACAGCTCTTGGTGGAAATGTCACTTGTGAGGAGTGACCTAGAAGTTATCATTTATGTCTTCTTGGAGGCATTGTCAAAAGTTGAATTTCTTAAAATGAGAAATTCAGTTGGTTCTTAATAGAGTTTTAATGTTCTTTTTTTTCTGGTTGAGGAGTGAATGTTAGCAACCGCCTTGCATGTCCTCCAGGTTAATATAACCATTGCCTTATTATTTTGGTGTAGGCGTGGCCCTAATGACATATTTTGTTTCCTGTGGCTATGCACCACAGACTTGTTACTTTTTGCGGAGTGACAAAATACCTGATAGAAGTGACGTGAGGAAGGAAGGGCTTATCTTGGCTCATGGTGAAGGTACAGTTCATCATGGTGGGGGAGACATGGAGTTAGGAAGGTGAGCCAGCCCATTGAGTCAGGAAGCGAAGATGAAAGCAATGCTCAGCTTGTCTTCTCCTTCCGTCTTATTAATCTAGACTGGACCCTCAGTTCAGCAGATGGGTCACCATCCTTAGCTAAACCTGTCTGGGGACATCCTTAGACATGCCTGGAGGTGATGCGAAACCCAGTCAAGCTGACAAGGAAGGTTAGCCATCACGGGGGATGTTCTAGTCCTCCGCCTGCTGCTCCATTTCGGATGTTCCTAGGTGGAAGGTGTTTTCTGACCATCCACCTGCCTGTTCACTGAGGATACCTTTAGGTGGATGTTGTTTTCAAGTAAGCTGGTTAGTCAATTTCAAGGAAGAAGTATTACAGCTGCCAATCTTTGTATTCCTGCCAGAGGCTGTCACCGCCACCCTCAAACAGACTCCCCACAGGCGTGGGTATACATAGTCATTCCTGGGGATGTCCATTACAGACCACACCCTCTCCTCTCTGATGGGTAACAGGATCTTTGCTGGG